CACCTTGGACCTGACAATCTGGGCCGCTAGTTCACCTTGGACCTTACCAGCTGGGCCACCAGTCACCTTGGACCTGACCATCTGGGCCGCCAGTTCACCTTGGACCTGACAAGCTGGGCCTCCAATCACCTTGGACCTGACCATCTAGGCCTCCAGTCACCTTGGACCTGACCATCTGGGCCTCCAGTCACCTTGGACCTGACCATATGGGCCTCCGGTCACCTTGGACCTGACCATCTGGGCCGCCAGGTCACCTTGGACCTTACCTGTTGGGCCTCCAGTCACCTTGGACCTGCCATCTCGTCCGCCAGTTCACCTTGGACCTTACCAGCCGGGCCTCCATATGACATTGGACCTTACCAGCTGGGCCTTAACTTGGACCTGACCAGCTGCGCCGCCAGTTCACCTTGGACCTGATCGTCTGGGCCACCAGTTCACATTGGACCTGACCAGTTGGTCCTCCAGTTCACCTTCGACCTGACAATCTGGGCCGCCAGTTCACCTTGGACCATACCAGCTGGGCCTCCAGTCACCTTGGACCTGACCATTTGGGCCGCTAATTCACCTTGGACCTTACCAGCCGGGCCTCCAGTTCACATTGGACCTTGCTTGCTGGGCCTCCCTCCAGTTTACATTGGACCTTACCAGCTGGGCCTCCCTTCAGTTCACATTGGACTTTACCTGCTGGGCCTCCCTCCGGTTCACATTGGACCTTACAAGCTGGGCCACCCTCCAGTTCACATTGGACCTTACCGCTGGGCCTCCCGTCACCATGGACCTGACCATCTGGGCCGCGAGTTCACCTTGGACCTTACCAGGCGGGCCTCCAGTTCACATTGGACCTTGCTTGCTGGGCCTTCCTCCGGTTCACATTGGACCTTACCAGCTGGGCCTCCCTCCAGTTTAGATTGGACCTTACCAGCTGGGCCTCCCTTCAGTTCACATTGGACCTTACCAGCTGGGCCTCCCTCCAGTTCACATTGGACCTTAACAGCTGGGTTTTCCTCCAGTTCACATTGGACCTTAACTGGGCCTCCAGTTCACATTCGACCTTACCAGCTAGGCCTCCAACTTTCAGCCCAATTATGTCTGAAATGCAAAAATTAATTTAGCTTGAAATTATCATTTTGAGGTTCCTCAAGTCAATATAGCATAGTTTAAATTAAATTATAGATTGATTTCTTAAATTTTAAAGTTGTATGTAACCGGTATTAAAATTTTAAAAAACATTTAAAATATTATTAACTTTTTAATTTTGTATCTAAAAAGTTTTTAATTCTTAAAAATAGTTCTCATAAACAGTGATATATTCAAATTTTATTAAATTTTAGACTTTTAATCACAAAACCAATAAATGATTTAGTTAAATAATGACGTCATTAAAATCGTCAAATTACAGCATCAAGAAATAGCAATGAAAATTGGTTAGAGAGGTGCCTGTACATTAAGCTTGCCGCCCAAGCTTTTCGCACTCTCAAAACGCGTAGCACCGTCGCTGCGCAGCACCTGCAAATCCAATGTGGACTCAAATGGTCAAATTGTGGGTCCATCCATTTGAACAGTAAGCATGACGTGTACCAGCTCCCCCACTCTCTCTAATTCACACGCCCTCACGCGTCACTCTCATATCCCACTTCAACTAACTTCTTTTTTCAACCACTTTGTTGCAATAACTCGTGAAATTTTCATTTTTCAACCAAATCAATTTTTAAAAATTAGTAATAATTATTTAATTTGTTAAACAAAAAACCTAAATTATTCCAAATGAATTGATATAGTCAGAACAAAAATAAATTTATAATCATTCAAGTCAATACAGTGTGTCACAGCTTCGTTTAGAGAGTAGGTTGTGAAACTCACATACAACACAGATAACGGGCGACTCTCAAGTGATGCGCCATCCGACTACGTTTGGGCCAAGTTAGAGAAGTGTCATGATGCGACCGAGGAGAACGGTGCATCATCCAACACACCAAGAGTGTGCATTGAAGCTAAGTCGAGGCATACACAAAATTCAAGAGAACGAGACAAGACAAGTGTCGAAGACAAGCTCGAAGAGGGGGTCGGGTAGGGCACCGAGCTATAACCTCAAAAGTCAGGGTTTCAATATGAATTTCGGCATGCAGCTCGAGAATTAAGTCTGTCTATATAAAAGATGAAAGCTCACCAATTTTAGTGTCAATTAGATCTTTGAGAGGCTATGCATGAGGTCGTATGTCTGCTTGCCTAAAAGGAGAAGAATTGAAAATGCCTCAAATGTACTATAGGCATGGTGTTGGCTCTTCCGTCGCCTTTTGGGCATGTGCTTCAAGCGAGCTAACATGTGGCACATGGATGTGACACAACGTGGGTGAGCGTCACGAAACGAGTGTAACAGGCGGCTTCCTTTGAAAATGATCTTTTAAGGATAGTATCGGACGAAACAAGTGTTCCGGTATTGCGCCCCAGACCATAAGTCAAATGTTGGATGATACACCCGCTATTTGGAACGTATGTCGTAAATAGTTTATCATGGACACGGGAGAGTCCAATGCTCAAGAAAACCAAGATGGATGAATGTTTGGGTTGTCTCGATGAGATAATCGACACACGAGTCAGTACTCAACAGATATATCCAAGCAAATCAAGATGGACGATGCATCCTGAGACGTGGGATGGTATCAAGATGCATGGATCGTGTTGTTGGGAACCTATATGACAATGAGATGCAACGTTAATTATGTCACACACGATTGAATATGCACGTATGAATGGCATTTGTAGCCGAAAAAGATTGGATTTTCCACAAGTTGGTGTTTGTTTAACGAAGGCACACCTCGCCGACGGACAAACGAAGTCATGAAACCAGGCAAAAAATGCGAACAGGGCTTGAGTCCACCTTAATGCTTGTCGTGAATGTATCAAGAACACGACGGCGCACGGTTGAAAAAGTTGGACGGTGACATAGTGCAACTTGAACTACAAAATATATATATTCTCAAAATTAAGCCCTTAAATTGAATTTTAAATTCCCACCATTCAAATAAAATTCAACCTCAAGACTTTTGTACCATTTATAATCATCAAAGCTCCACTAAAAACCTTACAAATAAAAAATAAAATAAAAGAAATAAAGTTTGATTTTGAATCAACCTCCCTTCACCACGTGCCTGAATCCCCAACACAAGAGCGTGAAATATGGCGCGCGTCTTGCGAGTGTACTGCACATTAAATAAATTAATTTAAAACAAAAATAAAACCATTGACCTTTTCAACCAAAATCGCCGCCTTTTTTAATTGACAATTTTCATTTCATTTCATCACTATTATAAATCCCCCACCAAATCGAACCATTTCCACATTCACTTCACATCTCCCATTTCTTTCTTCCTCTCTAAGCTTCCACCTTTCATTGGGTTCTTCAATGGCGAACCTTTTCAAGCTCTCCAAATTCATCTCTGTTTTAGCTCTCATTCTTTCCCTCTCTGTTTCTTCTTCTTCTTCCGCCAGATTATTGCGCGATCTCTCTCTCTCCCCCGCCGCCTTGCCGGACCTGAAACTTGACACTCCGGCGGATCCTACGACGGCGCTGGCGGTGGAGTATGGGGCTTTGCTTCTTGGGTTTCTACCGAAGGGGGGAATTCCGCCGTCGGGGCCGAGCAAAGGGACCAACAACCTCAACAGTTAAGAGTTTTTGCTGGGATTCTGTTCGGTTTTGTGTAATGCTAATCATTTGTTAATGTAAAATGTAAATACGCATCAAAAAGCGATGTAGATTAAGGGGACCGATCTGATGATATTTCATTCATTGTTTCATTATTACGTAATTATTTATAGTATTAATGTCTACGGATTAAATTTTCTGTTATTAATCTAAAATTTGTTGGAGTACATACTTCGTTGCATATATAAAGCATTGATTTTTATATAGTTTTTAGAGGTTAGTATTTGCAGGCGATATGATAAGAATGTGGGAGGTCGCGAAAATCGAGTAAAATGAAGCTCAAATAAGAAAAACATGTTGACATGCTTAAAGAACACAAAGAAAAACTTGGCCTCTGCTATTATTTTAAATACTTTTTCCCTTGAAATATAAAAACAGTAATTAATTTTATGCAGCAGTATTTTCAACCGTTTGGACCCCATTTATGTGTAAATTCAACGCCTTGATTCAAACTCTATTAAGACCTTGTTTCTAAAAGTGTAAGACAAAATGTCAAAAACATATATCTAATGATGAATATAAAGGACAACAAACAAAATTAAATAACATTCAATTTCTTATGTTTTCATTTATATTTTTAATAAACAACTATTTTAGTCTATTCATTTATTTTTTTATGTATTTTTTTTCTAGTACATTCTATTGAGTCCATTAATCCATTTTGCTTATAAGATTTTTTTTTTTTTTTTTTGTCACAATTTCAACAAAAATACTATACTAAATTTATTTAAAAGTTCTTTTTGTAAATAGGAAAATTTTGCAACTAAAATTGGATTTGTACCCTAAACCCTAAACAATTGGAAGGCAATGCACAATATTTCATTACAATTTTTCTATCGGGGGCGAGATTCCGGACTTGATTTGCGGGAATTAAATTCCACACCTATCCCACTATGATGAAATTTCTCTTTAAGCAGAAAGCTTTGAGATTTTCCTAAAATACCAAAATAAGATTTTATATTTAATAAAAACTTGAAAGGATCACATATAGAGATAAAAAATAAAGAAACCGATACGGAATACTTGATTATACATCACCGGTTATGGGAAAAATCTCACAAGGACAATGAATCTATAGTCAAAACAACCTCAAATATAGAAGGATACTATTCGAAAAATCTTCACGAGAATCCCTAATGGCCGAACTGCATTTTACATAAATTAATTGAAGAAAGCTAGAAACCTCTTCCGTGACATTGGATATTGCTACGTTGAACCATGTGTTGCAGTTATTTATAACCCCCCAAAACCAAGTTCTGAATGATGGACTATACGTAAAATGGATATGAGAGACGGGTTAGATAGTCGCGACAATCAAGTCCTCGTTAAACCAAAAATTTATCAGATTTCAGAAGTACAGCATAATTCCTTAACTCAAAACAAAACCCTAAAAATATATCGAGAAATGCTAAATAAAATTCAAGTTCACCAAATTGCAGCAACCATGAGAAAATTAAATAGAGCATATAAAGGGGTTCCTCTTCAGGGACGGGGAGGAGGAGCTCCAGCTCCAGCACCAACGCGAGGGGCCTGTCCTGGCTGTCCAGGCTTTGGCATATCATCCTGAGAAACAAAGGACAAAATTCAACCGTCAAAATAAGCAACAGCAATAGAAACACATTCAGAATAGAGATAATCACTATAAGCAGCTACGAACAATCATAAATTGTTACAAGTATATAAACGAACAAAACAACTTTCTCTTCCAAAAGTCCATAAATCACCGAGTAAACAAAATAGCAACCTTACATTACCAGAATTGTGAGACTCGTAAGAAAAAACAAGGGCCAAGAACAATGGAAGTAAAAGACGATTCATGACCCAGCAAAAGGACACAGGGTAACTCCAGTCATTAAAGTAAGAAGAGGGCGTTTTCAATGATATATAAACACAACTTGCAAAAGCCAGTGTCAACAATGATCCAGTAGTAAATTGTGAGAATTGTGTGAAAGAATAAGAGGATCCGAACACTAACATTGGCCATATAGAACTGTAGTAACAATTATATAACTCAAGTTTCTAATCCTAGCAGGTCATCGCAAGCTTAATTTACAAACATATCACTCACAGGCTCGTACGATTTAAATAATTGAAAGCCTAGAAAGTGAATAAAAACGATAGAGCCAAAAAATGAAAGTAAGCTAAATGAAAATATACCCTGCGTCTAATGAATCGCTGTGGTGGCTCACGTTTCCTCCTATCAGTGCGTGATCGAACCCTCACAACGTGAGAGTGGATAGCACAGGAAACACAGTACTGCATCTTAGCATATAGCTTAGGAAGAGTGTATTCTGTACCAGAAACAAACATTGAAATTATCATTCATGTTGTAATAATGAAGGTAAAGAAATAATATGTTAAGAAAAGGATCATACGATCATAGACACACGCTTCCTGAACATCCCTAACAGCTGCCTGCTCCACGATGTTCCTAACAAGGAACCTCTTAATGGCCTTATCCTATTCGCGTCAATAAGAAATCACAGAATTAGAAACAGTAGACCAAAATCACACAGATAATTGCAAATACGTACTAAATCTGAGCCTATGCAACATGAAAATTCAAGGGAGTCAGCAACAGAACAGGAAAATTAAAAAAAACCGCTGGTGAAAAACACGAATCTTAGTTCAGTGTTGGCGGGACATCGATAGCGGTTACATTGAAACAGCGTCTAGAAAAAAAAATTCCAGATGCGTGTACATTGTTTGGCCATTACAGATCAAAAAAGATCAATAGAAAGACAAACCTAAACCTAAACTATTCATTGACATCGGAAAGAGATACCAAGGCGACAGAGGAAAAAAAAAAACCCTAAGTACCTTGGGGCAGCATTTACCACAGTTGGAGCAGCGGATGAATTTCACATGTCCGCGTCCATGCTTGTTGCGTCCACCATTCCTGCGCTTGAAAGTCTGAAGCAAAAGCGAGATTGTGAAGAAAATGTTAGACAAAATCGAATAATCCAAACGGAGGGGTGAGGGATTAGGTTACCATGGTTCTAGTCTTCCGGATGGACGAACGAACCAGAGAGAATCAGCTATCTCTTCGCGGCTGAATTAGGGCTTCGAGAGGATGCTACCGTTCCTTTTATATGTGGGGGAGCAGAAGGTGACCTAGCCAAACGAAATCCCAAATTTAGTACATTTGCAAAAAGAACCCCCCGTGTTATTCTGTTTTTCATTGTTTGCCCAAGACATGGACTAATAGCAAAATATAGCAAAATATAGCAAAATATAGCAAAATATTAAGTATAAAATTTACATTTAAAATTTATTTAAAAAATCTTACGAATATTTTTATTTTTTTAAATATGTTTTTTGAGTCTAGGATATTAGATAATTTGTTTTAAGAAATCGAAAATGGTAAAAGGTGTATTTTTTAAAAACTATTTTTTCTGTCTAACACTGTTTTTATTAATTATTTAATATATTATTTTTTAATGTGGGGATGAAATATTTGATGAGGTTGTTATGCTTATTATCAAATTAAATTAAATATATTAGATTTGTATGTTTATTTTACTTTCATTTCAAAGAGAGAACAATAAATTTTTATGATAGTTAAACTAAAAATATATATTAAATTTTAATTATTTTAATATAAATTTATATATATATATATATATATATATATATATATATATATATATATAT